CACTTCTAAAAACGTTAATTTCTTGGCTGCATTGGTGATTCTTTAGCTTCAATAATCCAACTCTGTGACCCAGAACAAGCATGCAGCCAGTGAAGTAAGAACGTTTGATCTGCATACTGGCTACAGCAAGAGATTTGAAGTAGTTCTAAAGTCAAAATGCTTTTTACCTTAATGTGCATTCACTCCCTCCTCGTCCTTAAACACTTACCTGTCTCCTGTCACTGATCCTGCGCTGTCCCGGCTGCAGCTACTCTTTCTTCCTGGTCACACAGGAGGTCTCTGGCTCCTGCTGCTGTCAGTCAAATCCTGTGAGGAGGGAACAGGAGCTGTGGCTGAGACGTGCTGTGTGAGTCTATGGACTTGGATCACGCCTGCACAGATGCTGAGGGGGCACCCAGAGGAAGGAGCGGACAACGCTGGCGGGGGAACGCTAAAGAGGAGGTAATGGACCGCTCTGTGCAACCTCATTGCACAGAGCAGGTAAGTATAACATCTTTTTTATTGGAAGACAAAAAGGTTTTATCACTTTAAAATGGATTGAAGTCACTGGATCAGTATGACCAAGAAACATGAATCATTTTTTAATAAGGAGAGGTCAGCAATGGCACTCTGCATATTTCTTTTGCTATGGGTCTTCTATACCTAAATGCTATTTATTTAAAGTATATGCAATCTCTAACAACAAACTTTCATTATTTGCTCCCTATGAGGTTGATTTACTAAAGGAAAATAGACTGTGCACTCTGAAAAGTGCAGTTGCTCCAGAGCTAAGCCCCTTCTCACAAAACTTAATGCATAAGCACAATTTTGCAACGTTGACATGTGTTAGCAAAACTGTACCTATCATCACAACTACTTTGTGCATCCAGGTGGATTATACCGCGTTTGTTTCAGGACAAATTGGGCTTTCATTTGATGGTAAATGGTAATGGATATCTCCTGATTTTTTTTAATTATCAAAGGAAAACTGACCCAAAACAGTTAAAAAAAATGTTTTTTCTAAATTTAGCTGTATATTTCTTGCTCCAACCATAACCAACCACCAAAAAACAACCCAAAACAATTTCTCCTGTTCCTTACAATTGCAGCCATACCACATATGTGTATGTTAGTTGTTGGTTGTACTTGTAGTACAGGCCAAAAACAATAGTGTGAATTTTGTTTTTTTTTTCCCTGCCACTGACACTAAATTTAAAAATTAATAAAAAAAATCCTGACCCTTGACCCTGACCCAAACCTTGATGTAGGTATTTATTTATTTATTTATATATATATATATATATATATATATATTTATATATTGTTTTTTATTTTTTTTGACAAAGACTTTTTTTTTTCTCTGAAAGGACAGAGATACAATGTATCTCTCTCCTCCATTCTGAGAGAAACCAAGGGGGTGTGGGCTTCACAGTGACTGATCACTGTGATATCCAATCAGAGGCTTTCACAGCGATCATGTAACCTGGAACCAGGAGTTTCGGGTCCCGATTGTAAGAATGGGATCCGGGGGTCTCACTGACAGGTACGCAAATTAGCGGTCCCACGGGAAAAAGCCCAGTCCAGTGGGGTCGCTAATTTGCATACACTTGGCGCCAAGGGGTTAGTAAATGTGCAGAAGCTCTGCTGACTTCCATCATCCAATCATGTGCAAGCAAAAATGCATTTTTTTTATTTTCCCTGCGCGTGATTGGATATTTTTTGTAAAGTGAAGCTTTACCTCATTTACTAAGCTCTGGAGCAACTGCACTTGCAGAGTGCACAGTCTATTTGTCTTTAGTAAATCAAACCCTTTGTGTCTGTTCTAATACCACTGAAAGCATTTTGTTATAGCTGTTCATTAGGTGCAAAACATAGTTGTTGGTCCTGCCAGAAATCTAGTGAGCTGGTAACTTCCTATAAACTTCCTTTCTGTAAACTACAGATCACTTTCCTCTTGTTATGAGGGAGGTGTTTTGTAGTCTTGTCCTAGGGTGTCAACACTGCTCCTCCATAGATACAGTAAAGTGAGTGTGTGTTGTCAGTGGTGTATTTAGGTTTTGTGCTGCCCTAGGCAACACAAAAATCGGATGCCCCCCCTCCCCAGCAAAGAGAGCCTGACACCGATCAACACCAGACTCCCCCCCCCCCCCCCCCCCTCCCCGGGGAGAGAGCCCGACAGTGACCAACTACACCCCTGCCCCATCCCCACCCGAGAGACCCTTCCACATCTACCCCCCCCCCCTCACCCCCCCATGGCGACAGAGAGACACTCACCTACACAGCTCTGGACATCCCCGAGAACGACAGTTGGGCTGTGCATACACTATCAAGCACCCCACAGCCTTTCTCGGATCCCACCTGGTCCCCATGCTGCATATGTCCCCCCTTCCAGGGGGCAGTGCTGCCCCCCTAAAAAATGCCGCCCTTTTGCCTTGTGGTAAATACACCCCTGTGTGTTGTCACCTTAGGACAGGAAGTGTGTTACTGGCAGGATCACCTGGTGGAAAAAAATTGAAATAAAAACAAAACAAATGCAGACACCACATCTAAGAATCCTAGGACTAGCAAGCAGCAATATATTACATAATTTTCAAAGTCAACATTTTTTTATTCATTTTGGATAGTGTAAGGGAGGGTTATAACCCCTGTCAGGTTTTTTCTTATGTGTACCACTGTGGAGATTTCCCTTCACTTCCTGTTCCATAGCCACAACAGGAAGTGAGAGAAAATCCCAAAGTAAGGGATTCCCATGGTGTCACCAGAACTAGTGTCCCCATTGGAAGATTTCTTCTCTGTTACTCTTTCGGTGTCAATCCAAAATATGGGATTTTTTTTGCATTTCACTTTCAAAGATAACGGTAAACAGAACAAAAAGAAGGGTGAATCTCCCTAACAGGGACACAGACAGAAATAAAAACTGACCAGCATTCTAATCTCCCTCCATTTATCCAAAACTAAAACAAAACAAAAAAACCCCCCAAAGGTTTTGCCTTTAGTTACAATTTTAAATCTAATTTTACAACATGAGCGCCATCTGGACACCAATATGGGAATTGCAGCAGTGTATGCACAAAATAATAGTGCTTGTAAAGGCTTAAAGCGGAGTTCCAGCTATTTTTGTGTTTATGAAAAATCAGGATTGTCATGACAGCCAGTCAAGTGGTATTTTCAGAATGAAATGTCAGTAATGGCAACCTCCCTGTTTTCCTGAGGAAAGGCTTCCTTTCATTGCTAGTATATGCCACCATTGCTGCTTCCACTATAGGGAGCCATAGACCGTCATCAAGGAGTTGAACATTGCTCTTATTTCTCAAATTGCTCCATACCCAGCTCAGCCAGCATGGGAGGGGAGTGGTGGTGTGGATTCTGAACACAGTGTCAGCTCTCGCTCCTTGCAGGGTATGCACTATGCTATGTTGTATACACCTCAAAGTCTATCTAAACCCAAAGTCAAAAATATATTTCAGCTTTCCCTCAATGTGGTGGCTGCATTTGTTTTTTTCTTTATGCACTTCTGTCTGTGGGTGGCAACTCCTTCAGTGTATCTTTGGAAGGAGCTATGGTTGTCACTAATGTCACTGGACATTAATTATGTCTGCTTTTATTCATCTCCATGGCATGGTAAACAGGGGGAGATGAGTAGTTTTATATAAAAAGCAGCTTATAGAAAGTGACAAGGACACTACATGTCCGGCAAGACCAACAGATATTTTCTGTACTTAAATGTTCTTAGCCTGAAAAGTGAAAACTAATGCAGCCACTGTATCTAGGGACTGGTAAGTTGTAAAATGTTATACTTTTTATTCTTTGGTTTAAATATTCTTTTACATTGTACAAATGACTTATTTTTGTAATTTACCTTCATGTATAGTGGTGGTAATGGGGAGGAATGCCATATGATGCCAGTGATTGTAAACATTTGTTTTTTAAATTAAAATAACAAACATACGGGCAGCACAGTGGCTAAATGGTCAGCACTTCCACCTGGCAGTACTAGAGTCGTTGGTTTGAATCCCAACCACGACACCACCTGCCTGGAGTTTGCATGTTCTCCCTGTGCCTGCGTGGGTTTCCTCTGGTTTCCTCTTACACTCCAAAGACATGCTGGTAGGTTAATTGGCTCCTGTCTAAATTGTCCCTAGTATGGATGTAAGTTAGCAACCTTAGATTGTACGCCCCTTGAGGGTTAGGGACTGATGTGAATGTACAATATATATGTAAAGTGCTGTGTAAATTGATGGTGCTATATAAGTACCTAAAATAAATAAATAAATAAATGTCATGCTTGCCTGCTCTGTGCAATAGTTTTGCACAGAGCAGCCCTGATCCTCCTTTTCTCAGGTCCCCCACTGACACTTCTGGCTCCTCCCTCCCCTGCTGAGTTTCCCCGTAGCAGGCCACTTGCTGTGGGAGGGATTTGTACCGTGATAACTCCAGAGCTGGTTCTATGTGTTTATAAACACACAGTGTGGCTCGGCCCCGCCCTCCGCACTGGCTGTGATTGACAACAGCAGGAGCCAATGGCTCCTGCTGCTGTGTCTGAGCCAATGAGGAGGGGAGAGAGCAGAGCGCGCCTCTTCTTTCGTGCACGGCGCTGGATTGTAACCGGGGCTCAGGTAAGTATTAAGGGGGCTTGAAGAAGAGCTGAATACTGAAGGCTTTTTACTTTCATGCAGAGAATGCATGGTTCAGCCTTTAGAACCACTTTAATACCTAATGCCAATCCCGTAGCCCTATTCATGCAAATGAGAATGAAGCCATACAGATCAATACTATTTACTGTCTCTCTTTTCTTTTTAGGATGGAAATA